AGATATCAAAAAAGTACTCCAGAGTGTTGTTCAGCATGGGGGTGAGTAGAAAATGAAGGCTAATCATGTTTTGGGTGTACTATTCCTTTAACTGTCAATCGGGGCCACTTCCTGAGAGGTGAGCAGCTGCCTTCTGTAAACCCTCAGCAACTTCTTTGATCTGAGTAAGAATACAATTTCTATCAAAATAGGTTGTCATGTCTCTTTGGAAATTAAGACTTTTTAAGGACCCGCGGGAACGCTGTGTAAACAAGTACAAAGATTAAATGTTTTTAAAGCTCTGTATCATGTTTATCCATGTCCTTCATAAAAATTTATTTGTTCCATACCTGCCTTTTTTCTACGTGTTTCAAATACTTCCTTTCAATCCAATTGTTAGATAAATTGGGTATAAATTTCTCCAAAATGTAACTAAGCATTCTCAAGGGTCTAGGTTTGAAAAAAAAACTCCATTCAGTTAAGGAGAAAGTTAAAAAACTTAACTTTTATAATTGAGTTATGAATTGCTCCAAACTAATATGTATCTGTGAGAAAAGAGGTGTTTAAATATTTTAGTTTCAGTCACAGACGTATCGTGAGGTACTCTAACACGGCCTTCCTTTGTCTGGTAACATTTAGACTTCTTCTCTAGAGGAGAAAAAAAAAAATCACACACTTTCATCTCAAGCACAACAGAAAGGCTAATCTTATCACTAAACGTCACAGAACATAATCCCTAATATTCTTCTCTCTGTCAGGTTGAATCATTACAAAGGTTTCCAAGGATCCACATGTCAAATCGCATAAGACAATCAGAAGACACAGCGGCACAGACACAAAGGATATAAAGGTGTTACTAACAGCTGCTATAGAGGCAGAATTAAAGCTGAGAGGACAAGTCGGAAGGCAGGCTTTGTTACCTTCGGAGGCGGCTTAGAGCAAGCAGGGGGTTGAAATCGATCGTTCACACCAAAGTACTGCTTCAGCTCCTTCCAGTGCTTCTCCCGGTCATCCTGTCGCTCCCTGAAAACAACACAAATTCTGTTAACATCAAACATATGTAGACAAACAATAATCTTAAAGAAATGCAGGGAGCAGAACTAAACTACAGTTTAACAAGTTTTGATTTGCTGAAATAAACTAAAATATTTGGCACCTAATAGATGGCATCAGAAATCAAAACGTATTATTTTAACCAGAAAACTAAACAGATTGAATGGAGGACGTGTTGAAGCTTTAGTTTAATTAACTGTCTCTTAACGCTAAAGAATAATTATCATCAAGGATACACTGGAAATCTAGATGAGTCATTTTTTCTTAAAATAAGTGTATTTTTTCTTTGATTGAGGAGGTAACAGGGACATTTTACCAATGGAACAAGACAATTTACACTAAAAATAAGAAAACTCAACTGCATTGTCTTATTTCTAGTGGATATTATCTAATTATCTTATTTTAAGAGTAAAAACTCTCATTCAATTGGCAAACTATCTTATTTACCTACTCAAATTAAGGGTAAATACTAGGGATGCTCGATATTGGGATTTTGGCCGATATCCGATATGCCGATATTTTAAAACTCAT